AATGAGCAAATTTGTTATTTCTCTCCATCAAGTGCTTCCAAGTCTCATTGAACATGAGCTGAGCATCCTCCAAGGCCCCTCCAACATCTTCCCTCCTGGTTGAGCAGTCTGCTTCCTTGATGAGGTCTTGAGCCAGGTATGGAAACAGTCTTGAGAGTGTTGACTGCTTGCCTGCACCCTCCATGGTCACTCCTTCCCCATGAGGCTGAGGCTTTTGCAGACACTCCAGCCCCAGGGCCAGCACCTATCACATACCTACACCTGTGTGCCTGTATTCATGCCCATATGAGGCCAGGGGCACAGAGGGGCGGGGAAGCTGGCCTCTCCACCAGCTGCTCTCTCCCCTCAGCGCCCTGGTTTCCTGGAATCAAGGGTGCCTCCTGGCATCCTGCGCCCCAGGTCTCAAGTGGGCCTGCTTCCTGCTTTGCTTTCTCAAGGCCCCCAGTGGGTGTGTCCCATCTCTAATGTCATAAAATGTCAGCAGAGGGGCTGTCCCAGGGTTGACACATGGGGTCAGGCTCAGAGCTTCTGGTGAGTTTGAGTTTCATCACCCCCCCCAGCACTAAACTCACAGTGGCAGGGCATGTGACAGCATCCTCTTAGGTGTGTTACTCTTGCCTTAGGAGGTTCTTGTCAGATGGTCTGAGATACTTGCTGGAACACACTTGAAAGAGTGTTGACAACCTGGGCTGGTGGCAGTGTCGTCACAGATCACCCAAGCTCACATCCTTTCTCCACAGTGTTGAAGCTGTGTGACCCAGAGTGGGCCACCAAATCACTGAGTTCAAATCTCATCTGTAAAATGAGATGAAAACAAGCAAGCAAGCAAGCAAGCAAGCAACACCACAGGGCACATGTGCAAGGCTGCAGGGCATTAATAATGCCACACTTAGAGCAGAGGGTCTCCAGAAGAATTGCCTCAACTCAAGAGGAGGAGCTCAGGGGGCCTCCCAGAAATGGGAGTTCTTGATTGGGGTTCTGAGGGATCTTTAGGAGTCCGTGGGTTCATTGCTTGAATATAGATAGGGCTGTTTCAATCTTAGGGATCAGCACACGACAATGGGAATCAGTTATTTCTAGTTTCTGTTTGCAGCCACCGCAACTCCAGTCTCCAACTCTGGAAGGGACACACATGGCCCCAGCCTCATGCCACCTTTCAAGTGGTACCTAGAGCTGCGGACTGAGCACTGAGGGAACATTAAAAGCAGTCTAGTATAAGTAGCCAGTACACCAATAGGCACAGGGCCATGGAGCTGAGGGGAGCTCCCCAGGGTCACCAAGTCAAGGACAGTGACAGTAAAGAACCCAGACTTATCTAGTATCTCTGGAGTCAAACCAGGATGCAGTATGGCCACATGTGGCTCTGAGTGAGACTATCCTGGGAGGGCCCAGGGTGGAAGGTTTTGCTCCCAATTTGCAACTTGCAGCTACATGCAGGGAGAGCTATAAGTGTTACCCAACACAACACTGTTTAAAGTAAAACAAAACAAGACAAAATTATGTGATTTTTCTTTTTTAACTCAATCACATGGCTCTTAAGTGTAGAATCTGTAGATGGCATCATGTTGCAATGTCAAGATGGGCATGCCTGGCTCTGGAAACAGGTGGGCTATGGAGGAGGCTGAGCAGGGAGGAGACAGCAGGTGCTGGTGCCTGGCCTGTGAGACAGCTGGAGTGTCAGATTGGAGGCAGTGGGCAGAGGGAAGCTCCAGTCATGAGGAGGAGAGTGGGGCTCAAGGCCACCTCACCTGACTGTCAGCCACGTGGAGCTGTGGAAAGGGCTTTTCTTCCTCCCACAGTGTGGTGGGCATTGTATCATTTTTTCTTTGAGTGGCTACCAGGTGACTGAGAAAACCAGAGCTTCCTGGTTTTCTGCCTTTGGTAGGTGTCTCTTGGCACTCAGAAAGGTCCAAGGGCTGAGGAGCCTGAAGCACAGAATCTAAGCCTTGCCAGTAGTGGTTATTCTTCTCAACTATCCCAAGCCTAGGTTCCCTCATCGGCAAAGTAGGAAGCAAATGCCTGTTTCTCGAGGTCCTGAGAAGTGATAGGCTTTTTTGGTGGGGACAGAGGGAGTTGACTGGCTTGTATTTATGTGTTTATTTATCCAAATGTATTTATTTAAATTTATTTGTTTATTTTGGAACAGGGGCTTGTCATGTAGTCCAGACTGACCTGGAACTCACTATACATAACTGGCTACCTTCAAACCTGAGATCCCCTGTCTTAGATCCCCTCCCAGTGCTGGGGTTCAGGATAGACCCATAGTACCTGCCTCACTTTCCTGGAGTCTCTGTTGACCATCACAATGCCATCACATCCACTAAGGCAAGCCTGGATTTTTGTCTTCGACTTGAATAAACTATTTCTACTATAATTCACCTGAAGACCTGGGCTCTGGAAGTTGCTTAGAGCGGAGAAGCGACCTGGGGTACAGGCCAAGCTAACAAAGACACAGGAGAGGCCTGAAGCTCCTCTTCTCTTCCCCTTCCTTGAACCCCTAGGTGCTCCCAGCTGCTTCCTGCTCCCTACTCTTCTTCTGAGGCTCTCCAGAGCCTGGGCTGTGCCTGCTCTCCAGCTGGTGCCTTTCCCCTGAAATCTGACCCTGGGAATCCTGGCACCCCCTTCCCTGCCAGCTTCTTCCTCCTGGCCCCGCTCCCAAGATCTCTATAAGACACACAGCGGTACTGGCTCATGGTTCCATCTCCACCTGGCATACAGTGGCCCCTCTCTACCCAGTGCCAGCTTAGGTCTCTCACCAGACATAGGGAACAGCTGGGCTTCTGGGCCCCATGCTCATTGCCTTCTCAGGTTTCCAGGCTGCACCATCTCAGCATCTGCTCTCCCTGCCCAGAGAATCAGCCAGGGAAAGCGATGAGCTCATTTTGTAGGAGGAAGCAGAGAGGCAGCATGGCCTGGATATGTCACTAGGTGACAGCTTTTATCAGTTGGGGTTGCCTCAGAAACAGTACTGCAGAATCTAAAAGTACTGCATCCAGCCTTCTGTGGAAGACTGTAATTAATGTCTGCCAAGCACAGGTGCAATTGGTTAGAAGTGTCGGCCATGTATAGGTGCAATTGATTAGCAATGACTGCCATGAATAAGTATAATTGATTAGCAATGTCTGCCACACGTGCAGCTTCATTGAATGCTAGAGATTGCTGACTATTGTTTCTCAAGACACTGGAAAAATCCTAATAGTTGAAAAGTGATCATTAAGATGGCTACACACACACACACACACAGAGAGAGAGAGAGAGAGAGAGAGAGAGAGAGAGAGAGAGAGAGAGAGAGATGAAAGATAGATTGATCCATGATCTACCATCCATTGGAACACTTGCACAGCCTGGATGTGGGGATACGAGAGGTTGGAGCATATCTGTGCACAGAAACCTGATTCCTATAAATGACTAAGATGTTTTCAACAGCCATGCTTTGTTCATGGAGGAAGCTTCCCTCAGTCCCCAGCAGCACCACCCTTCTAGACTGAGATAACAGACTTCCAACAGCAATGAAATAAACACTATCCCCCCTTACTCTCTTGCAGTGCTGGGGATGGAACCAGCTAGGCAGCACTCTGCCATTAGGCTCCACCCCCAGATCAGATCCACACATTACGTAGTTTTATTGTACCTGCTTTTTACAATCGCATTTTATTTAAAGATTGGGTTTTCCAGCCACAGAAGCCATATGATGAAAAATCTTTAAATAAGTGTATTTAGACAAAAAAAATAATAAATCCGTTTTAAAACTTCTCAGGAGCTAATTACAAAGATGACATGCACAGATCTTTAAAAGAGAGAAAATCAAATCCTCCCCACACCTCTTCAGATAGTGAAAATAGGTTTGATTTCTGTTTGGGAGCTAAGGCAAGAGAATTCCAAAGTGTTACATTTGCCCAGGGTTCACAGTCCCGAGTGTGGGCGCAGAGTTCGGGTCTGGTCCATGGTTGAGACAGAGGAGGATGGCCACAGACAGCATCCTGTGGCAGGAGGGATGTGTGGGGTTTCATACAGAAGGAAGCCGGCCTTCTGACCCCTGCCAGGCAGGAAAACTCTTGCACAGGACCTGAACACCCTCTGTATTGGCTCATCTCTTCTTGCTAAGCCTAGGGGCCTTGTTCCAAGCACCTGCTTTCAGGGCATCTGATTGAGAGATAATCTGATTGTTGGATCAGGCCTAGCCTTTGTGACAGACTTTCTGTCCCTAGGCTTCCAGTCAGCCTGTGGGTCTGTGGTCTGTCCAGACAGCCAATGAGTAGTGAGCTGGAACCATGAGTCGGGTAGGGCATCCATTAGTTCTGAGTTTCTGCTTCCCTTAGGACGTGGGATCTATCACTACGGCGCCATCAAACCTGGAACAGTGACAGACACTGAGGCTCTGTGCTGGAGGAGCTGCCTGTGGAGAGGGTGAGATGGTACACCCAGGCATGCCATCCCTGCCGGGGCTGCTGGGGCTCGTGGCTCACATTCCCTTAGGCTCCCTCACAAATTGGTGAAGTGGGTGTGGGTAGATCAGCAGCCGCTGCTGCCTAAGTATTTGTGTCCACACTGAACCCATCATTGTGAGGTCAGGAGTATCTCCAAAGAAGGAAGATGGGTCAGGAGCTGTCCCCATCATCTCCTTCTGGTATGGACTGGAGACATTTGAATGCATTAAGGAAGCCGCACCACCCTTAGAAGCAGGACTTACAGGACAAGATGAGGGATGTTTGTCGCCTAGGTGAGGCACAACAAATAATGTCTCAATAGGTGTGAGTCAAGAGGGGACTCCAGGAGACCCCCTAGGATCCTTGTAAGGGTTCCACAAAGGACAGGGCTGACACGGTGCTTGCTGTGTAAGCCTTTTGGGGGGAGGGGGGTACATGAACAAATATCTACTTCTCCCATATGTGGCATCAAAGGCGTGAATCCACTCAAGTCCAGCTTGATGAAACTTTGAGTCGTCTAGGCTTACTTACAGGAATACAGGTGACTCCAAAACAGCTGTATCACAATGGCATCAAAGGCGTGAATCCACTCAAGTCCAGCTTGATGAAACTTTTGAGTCATCTAGGCTTACTTACAGGAATACAGGTGACTCCAAAACAGCTGTATCACAGAAAACACCACCCCAGAATAGGTGATGATGTCCCCATAGCTACATAGATGGAGCCCTCACTTCAATCAATCCTCCCCCTTCTGCATATGACGGCATCTTTCAGGAACACATGCACCAAGGGCAGAATTACACATAGCTGGGATGAGGTGCAGGAGAGTGGCTGGAATCTCCGGTGACAGTCCCTTCCCATCCTCTCCTTCTAAGAGGAAATGTCAACAGTCAACAGGCTGCATCCAGTCTTATTAGGATCTCTCAGTTTGGGTAGACACAGCTGTTCTAATTAAGACAGTGGCAGTCACATCACCCTGAGGACAGCTGTCCCTCAGCAGTGCTGGCAGGACAAAAGTTGGGACAAGAAATGGTACAGAGGGCAGTAGGAAGCCGCAGCAAGCTCAGTGATAGAAGGAGGGGCATGGGCACATTTGCGTTTGGAGAAGCAGGTACCGCTGCCCTGTGATGGCGAGCAGGAAGGAGTAGGGCAGGTCAGGAAACTAATGACCTCATGACTAAACAGGGAAGAGGAGCTGACTACCCCTCCCCACCCCAGATCCTGGATGGATCAGCAGGGAGCAGCAAGTGGAGCTCAGAAGTGGATGACTAAGTGGCGGTACAGATGACCAGGGGCTGTCCTCAGCCAGTCTATACCAGGTGGGCTGGATCTTGGGCCTGTAGTTCTTGAAGAGACAGGTAGGCATCCGTGTTGAGAGACAGGACAGAAGCCGGGGCCCTGTCCTGACCTTGCTCACAGGGGCTATCTTCGGGGACACTGGCCTGCTCCCCTGAGCTATGAGCAGACAGCCCCTCTCCATCACCTCCCATCACCAGCTCCAGGGGGCACTGCAAGCCCATCAGGTCAGGGGATGGTAGTAGGGGAAGTTTCTCCTGAGGGGAGACGGGAGGCTTTTCTTCAGGGGCTACAGCTCCCCCAAAGGCAGTGTTGGGGGAGCTCAGGCTGGGGGAGGAGAGCAGCAGGTCATCCCGGGGTGGGAATTCACAGTACTCATCCTCTTCCCCAGCCAGAGGGAGCAGAGATGGGAGAGGAGATCCCTGGGGCGGTCCTGGCCCGTCCTCCTCCACATCCTCTTCCATGCAGGGGTCGTATGTGAAGTACACCTGGCAGGGCTCAATCTCTAAGGCGTTGGGTAGATGGAAGAAGAAGTAACCTTGGTTGGTGAAGCAGCTGGCCTGTGAGTGGCCGCTGGGCGAGGGGGAGGGGACTGTGTCCTGCTGTAGCAAGAGCAGCTGCATGGCTTTGGTGTCTCTGTCCAGCACCTCCAGGGGAGAGATCTCAGGTGCAGGGCCAGTGGGGCTGAAGGAGGATGAGGGGAAGGGCGAGGACAGCCATTTCTGCCAGAGAAAGTAAGGAGAGTGAGTGGGCCCCTCTACCGCCTACTGTACCACTGAACTCAACTCTTCTCCTTCCCTTCCTCCTGCTCTCCATCCTACAGCGTCTTCCAGCCCCTCCCCAGCCTAGATGCGTTCTGTAGCCTTGTTATCTTGGTGGACTTTCTGAACTTGTCAGCCTAGGCCACGTGCTAGATGAACATAGCCACAGTACTACTTTATGGATGTCCGGGGGATGTTGGCTAGGAGCGAGTAGAGCTGGCCACTGAGCACCTGCTGTATACCTGGACTAAACTAGGTGTGAGGACACAGAAGGGAAAAGTCCCCACTGTCTTGTATGGAGTTAACCAGCCAATCAGTGTCTCTGAGGGCCCATCCTGTTCAAGTCACAGGCAGCTGGTACTGCAAGAACACAAGTCTTGCCCACAGAGATAGAGAACTGGTGGGTCCCCAAATCACCTCTCCCCATCATGGCCTTGGCGCCTTGCTATAACCTACATGTAGGTGGGGTGATATTCATGGCTCCAGTAGCCAAGAACATGGGCCCTGACCACAACACAAGGAGGCCAAGACAGGAATCCTTGCTGACCCATAGCCAGCCAAGGTTTGCTTACATTTCTCTATTGGTCAGGACCTCACCACAGTCAGGGCAGAAAGTGTTTCAGCAAAAACAACAGTCTAAGGATCTATTCACCCCACTATACACACACACACACACACACACACACACACACACACACACACACACACACACACAGACACACAGACACACACACACACCCACAAGCACACATAAGGCAGGCTCATCTCTTCAAGTCTCTCAGAGATTCTAGAAGGGGCCTGCTCAACCCTGATGGGGCACACAAGGCCAACCCAGATGGACTAGAGCTCCGCCTAAGCCTCCCAGTCTCAACATAGTTTCCCAAGCCCCTCTGCCCCCCACATATTTCTCAATCACAGGGAGCCAGTCAGGCTGGAGGTAGTAACAGATTCCACCCCACCCTCAACCCATCCCTTGCTTCTCTAAGCTTCTAGCATGAATCAAGTAGACTAGAGAGAGATGCTGTGACTATATGGGCCACGCTTAAACAAACCCAAGTTTTGTGATTCCAGGTGACCAGAGGACTTGTGTTAC